ATGAAATTTGAGTTGTCTTTTACTTCAGTTTATCTTGTTTTCATCTAGGAATAGGTTCACCTACTTTTGACCACTGTATCAAAGATGGGATGACATACTTTTTAAAATTCTGATTGATTTGAGTACTGCTGTAGATCTTATTTCCAAAGAAAATATCCAATCATAATGTTCTATTTTTGGCACCAGACTAAGACAAGAAGAAAAAACACTAGTCTCTTCTGAGTAGTGACAGACAGTCATATAATGAGAGATGTGAGCCTAAAAATATTACTACTCAATAGTAGTAATCAACTCTATGGATTTCTTGTAACTACAGGTACTTGGCTGCTATCAAGAAAAATCTCTGTGGAGAGGATACATGCATTCTAACACCACAAAATCTCCATTAAGAACACTAAGAATTTAACCTTCATATGGCAAAAGCACAGTATGGAACTAACCAAAAAAAGCACTAAAGCACAAGATCAGGCGATTCCTAAATATCGCAAGTCAGGCAGGCGGGGCAGGAGGCCGGCGTGGCTGACCAGGAACATTCTAATGGAGATTAGGCGGAAACAGACAGTGCTTCGCTACTGGAAGGAGGGCCAGGTGTCATGGAAAGAATACAGGGATGCTGTTCGTGTTTGTAGGGAGAAAATTCGTGTGGCTAAAGCACACCTAGAGTTGAAGCTGGCTGTGTCTGTGAGAGAAAATAAAAAGGTTTTTTTTAGATATGTGAATGGAAAAAGGAGAACTAAAGAATACATAGGGCTGCTCCTTGATAGGGAAGGTCTCCTCACAGACGATGACATAGGCAAAGCAGAGACGCTTAACGCCTTCTTTGCCTCTGTCTTCAATGCCGATGATGGGCTTCGGGACCCAGGGTGCCCTGAGCTGGAGGACCGGGACGGTGGGGATGACAAACTCCCAACCGACCCTGAACGTGTGCGGGATTTGCTACTCCACCTGGATCCCTACAAGTCCATGGGTCCGGATGGGATTCATCCCCGGGTGCTGAAAGAGCTGGCGGACGTTATCGCGGAACCTCTCTCAATTATTTTTCAACGATCCTGGGAGTCTGGAGAGGTCCCGGTAGACTGGAAGCTGGCAAATGTTGTGCCGATTTTCAAGAAGGGTCAGAAAGAAGACCCTAGCAATTACAGGCCTGTCAGTCTCACGTCAGTGCCTGGTAAAATCATGGAGAAGATGGTTCTCGAACTTATTGAGGCACACCTGGGGGACAAAGCAGTCATTGGTCCCAGCCAGCATGGGTTTGTGAAGGGCAGGTCCTGCCTAACTAACCTGATTTCCTTTTATGATAAGATCACCCGTATGGTGGACCAAGGGAAACCAGCTGATGTGATTTTTTTGGACTTCAGCAAGGCTTTTGACACGGTTTCCCATAGGATCCTACTGGACAAAATGTCCACCATACAGCTAAATAAAAACATCATACGATGGGTGAGCAATTGGCTAACAGGCAGGGCCCAAAGGGTTATGGTAAATGGGGCTGCGTCAGGCTGGCGGGCGGTCACCAGTGGGGTCCCTCAAGGCTCCATTTTAGGGCCTGGTACTTTTCAATATTATTATAAACGATCTGGATGTAGGAATAGAAGGTATTTTGAGCAAGTTTGCTGATGACACCAAACTTGGAGGAGTTGTGGACTCGAATGAGGGTGGAAAGGCCTTGCAGAGGGATCTGGATAGGTTGGAGAGCTGGGCGATCGCCAACCGCATGAAGTTCAATAAGAGCAAGTGCCGGGTCCTGCACCTGGGACGGGGAAACCCTGGCTGCACGTACAGACTGGGCGATGAGACGCTGGAGAGCAGCCTAGAAGAGAGGGATCTGGGGGTCGTGGTAGACAGCAAGTTGAATATGAGCCAGCAGTGTGCCCTGGCAGCCAGGAGGGCCAACCGTGTCCTGGGGTGCATCAAGCACGGCATCGCTAGTAGGTCAAGGGAGGTGATTGTCCCGCTCTACTCTGCGCTGGTGCGGCCTCACCTCGAGTACTGTGTGCAGTTCTGGGCACCACAGTATAAAAAGGACATGAAACTGTTGGAGAGTGTCCAGAGGAGGGCTACAAAGATGGTGAAAGGCCTGGAGGGGAAGACGTACGAGGAACGGCTGAGGGCACTGGGCCTGTTCAGCCTGGAGAAGAGGAGGCTGAGGGGAGACCTCATCGCAGTCTACAACTTCCTCGTAAGGGGGTGTCGAGAGGCAGGAGACCTTTTCTCCATTAACACCAGCGACAGGACCCCTGGGAATGGGGTTAAGCTAGGCAGGGGAAATTTAGGCTTGACATCAGGAGGGGGTTCTTCACAGAGAGGGTGGTTGCACACTGGAACAGGCTCCCCAGGGAAGTGGTCACTGCACCGAGCCTGTCTGAATTTAAGAAGAGATTGGACTGTGCACTTAGTCACATGGTCTGAACTTTTGGGTAGACCTGTGCGGTGTCAAGAGTTGGACTTGATGATCCTTAAGGGTCCCTTCCAACTCAGGATATTCTATGATTCTATGATAACCAAACTATATGCATGAGATACAAACCTCTAGTAATACATGTGGCTTGCTGTTGGGAAGATGCTTATGAGTTCACTCCATAAAGTTGATGAATATTCTTGGAATAGTCCAGTGACAAAGTTCTAGCCAGAACTGCTTCCCTGTATGCTATATTTTCCTCTAGGAAGAAGTCTTGGTTTACTACCTATTAATACCATGGAGGAAAAGAAAAAAATGCACCACCCTAAGGTGCTGGCAGTAGGTTGTGCTGGTGAATAGTTTCCTGCCTCGCATCACAGAATATTCATTAACTCTGTTCAATACAGTAACAGGCTCACGATTCTTTCAAAAAACATGCAGATACGTTGAGGATTTTGAAGTTTTACAGGGCTTCACATCCCAACAAATTTCTCTCTATTTCAGAGAAAAAGGTTTCCAGTCACCATGTAAGCACATCAGAAATATAAAAAAATCAATTATTTCCTGATCAGTAGTGTTCTGTAAGGGAACTGATTTTACCTTTTAACTTACCATGAGGGGTAGGGGGTGGAAATGGGGATCAGGAGAAGGGTGTATGATGTAACAGGTGGTCAGCAAAAGTGGTGAGAGAGCATGATGTCCATTGTGGGGTTCTATTCATTTACTATGAAAGGCTGCTTTATGGGTGAAATGCCTGTTCTGTGTTTCAACAAAGTCCTTCAATGCAGATATATTTCAATGAAATATTTCTTTTTTTGTTTTACAAAAATATAGCATTTCCTGATCAAATGTAGCTCTAGATGTGAAGAAAAAGGCAGGCACTAACTACTCTGAGAAACCTCCTCTTTGGTACAGGCATCCATTGGACAATTACAGATAATAGTTGCTTGGCAAGTCCCAGTGTCTTCCACCAGCTCAGCTCATCACACCGTAGTCAATACTGAGCAATGCAACTGAACTTGCCTGTCACTGGGGCCACCAGCTGACCCCCAAGCATGCTCACGCGGACAATTAGCATGGCTCAGCCAACAACTTAGTAAGCTGCAGTAACTAAAATCATTTAGGTTGGAAAAGACACGATCATCATGTCCAACCATCAACCTAACACTACCAGTTCCACCACTAAAGCACGTCCTTAGGCACCACAGCCACACTTCTCTTAAATACCTCCATTTAGTTTTCCTCCAACCATCACACTAGTAAGCAGTGTTAAAACAAAAGAAGCTTTAAGAAATAAATGAGGGAAAACCTCCCCTATGAAGGAAGAAACCATTTTTTTCCTTCTTCCTTGAAGTTTGAGTACTAACAGCTAGAACCTTGTGAAGTGACTTGTTCTGCTTTAATCAGCCTGCAGTACTGCACAGACCTTGTTCTAAGAAGTGGCTGAAGTTTACAGTGACCAGAACACTTATTTTCACCTTAAATAAAGAGTGTGCAGCCTCATTACAATAACTATACAGAATTCAACAGATCAAACAGCACTTACTACAATACATTTAAATTAGATATGTTCACCATTTCAGCCATAAATCACTCTTTAAAGTGAGCGTACTTTTGGAGAAATTACTTAATGCTATTTTACTATCCCTACTGGCATTCTGTCACTGTGCCCTATCAAAGGAACGTATACATTCTGTGCATTTCGGACAACTTGAATGAGAAACCTCCCTGGCTCTGAAGTAACTTTAGTTTCAATGAAAGATTAGCATAACCTTAAAGCTGTTTGTATTTCACTATGATTCTTAATGCTGTGGTAATAGTCATAACAGGAATGTAACTGAGTATTTTGCTATGATGAAAAAAAATGCTGCATCTGAACTTGGAATTCTATTGGCATCAACATGCTCCTTTTTCTACTTGCTCCATACTGCAGATGCAGTTTACTTTTTCTTTTAAGTTAAATTTGAACAGGCTAATCAGGTTTAACAGTTTTCACTTCAGTGAAAATAAAATAGAAGCTCCCATTCTCCACTATAAAAACAATTTACTTGCATTGCATGATGAATTTTTAAGTATTAATGAGATGAGACTTAAACCCTGAGAGAAAGGTCCTAAATATTTTTAGGAAGGTAAACTTAAATAAAATAAAATTAAGCTATAATTTATGAATGCAAAACTTGATACCATGCTTCTGTCAGTGGAATCTGTGAGGTGTCCTCCTCCCCAAACCCCCTTTTTAAAAGCATATCTTTGTAAGTGAACTTAGGGAAGCAGAAGAGGAAAGGAGGTAGAAAAAAAAATAAAGATAAAAAACAAGAACAGAAAAGTCTCTGTGTTACATCTGCACATTTGCTTAAAAAAAAAAAAAAAAAAAAAAAGCTGAAGATTATAAGCCCCCTCACATAGGGGAGGAGGAAAAAAATTAAACAAACAAACAAACAACTTCCCTTCAATGAATTGGCAGGGCTATTAAACCACATGCCCTGATAATGGAACAAAGCCAGCAATTCAAACTGTTATTTCTATGGTATAGACAAATTTGAAACTGGAATAGAAGAGTTACAAGGCAATAAACTGTTCAAATTAGATAAAACAAACTTACACTTGTTGTATAAGCAGCTTCAGGATCATCCTCTAACACTCGTGAGAGACCAAAATCAGAGACTTTACACATGAGGTTACTGTTGACCAAGATATTACGGGCTGCCAGATCACGGTGTACGTAGCCCATGTCCGAGAGGTACTTCATGCCTGATGCAATTCCCCGCAGCATGCCAACCAGCTGGATGACTGTGAAGTGGCCATCATGCTTCTGCAAGTAAAGATATGAGTTCAAAGAAGATAGTTTCCATGAATTTCATACTAGCAACATCAGCTACATCTTTTATTTAAAATGCCAGCCAGCCAACCTGCCCACTGAAAACTTGATTTTTCATTTAACTTGCTCAGCAGCATAAGCTACCCCACCTGTCAGTATGCAGTTCCTCTCCCTTTTCTTCAATGCTTCGCCACTCTCTGTTCTGTCCCGTGACCACACTTAATCTTTTATTGTTAGTTGCTAAGAACATTTTCCCCAAACCCATTTTGATAAATGCAAGAATGACAACATAGAAAAGTCCTTTCTCCATCTCTTACTCCATACTTCTAGGAACCGAGAAGAGTCCTACTTTTACTGCCCCAGCCTCGATGGTCTGCAAGAGATACTGCTGTTGCCTAAAACAGGTAACTGGAGTAACTTTGGAGCTTTATCACATCTCTGTTCTACATACAACACCATATAATCTCTGAACACTAGACTGAAAAGCAAATTTGGGCTGATATTCAGGGGATCACACATGGCTTCTCCAGTCCTCCTAGGTAACTGAAGTTAAGCCCAGACCTATGAAAGCATTAGGCTACTAAACTTGTATTTAGATGTTCAACTCCAATAGATTTCAGCAGAAGTTGTGTTGTTAACTGCACTCATATATGTAATTATTGGTGGGCCTCCATTTCCCATCTTCAAAATGAAAATTAATGCTTCTATACCAACTGGGTCAGAAGACTGCTGAATTCTTTGGTAGTGAGGACCAAACAAATACCTATAAGCAAGTTTGACAATGAGCTCTTGCCTGATTTACATCTGCTCTATCTACCCTTTAAGGCAGACTGCTGACAGCAGAATTTTTGTGACCTCATCTGGCAGACATTTAGGTTCTTATGGATTATTCAGTAAGCCAAGCTTTTACGCTAGCGAGAACAGCTAAGCAAAAAACAAACAGCTCTTCCCTACAATCAAGTTAACTTCTCATTTTCTCTTTGGACACTTTCAGCACTTGGTTACATACAAGTAGCATTCAGGACATTTGTATTGGTTAGTTCATATGTTTAAGTTAAATAAACTTCACAGTCAAGTCCAGTAAATTCAATAGATTAATTAATGTAATAAACTCAACTGCACAGATATGCTTAATCTTATCCCTGAACAGCAAATCATTTTAGCATATCTATCAATCAGGACTCATTAGTTCGGGGCCTACATCGAACTAGTCAGGTATATAAGCACAGAAAGAAACAAGGGACTGGTGCTCTAACATGTAAAAATGTAAACAAAACAAACAAAAAAACCACCAACCAACCAACCAACCAACCCACACCACACAGAGAATACACATAAGAACATGTGCAGGGTACAGAGGTTGGTGTTACTTGCTCTTCATATTACTAATCCATCTGTCTCAGGACAGAACAGTACTAGACAAAGATCTGCCTCCAACATATAATATGTCTACTTAGATCAAGTATTCATATGTTTTTAATGTAAAAATTAAAAGGATAAATTTCCCTTATGCATAACAGACTGCTAAATTGAGAGTTACTCACCTCTAAAGAGGTTTGAGGAACTAATTCTTAATGTCATTACTGTTTGATTAAACTCTACTGGGTACAAAAAAGGAGAAAGACAAACCTTGCAAAAAGAAGCTGGAGAGATGATGTGGATTTTGCATTTTGTAGAACTTCTAGAGTATCTTAAAACTCTTCTAATACCTTTAATAAAATTGATTAGAAAAAAACCAACAACTCAAATGCTAAGGATAGGGCACCAACTCACCTAGCCTTCTACAACAACTTAGAGCCTCATGCTTCCCAGAACACTTGTTGGTTAGGCAGCCATACATCAACCCCTAGACGAACAATATCATCACATCACAGTCTTCTCCAAACTAATCACACTTACTGACACACCATCAAAACCTACATATGACAAATTCATAGGAACTTTTCCCCATGAATATCCCCAAGGCAATTCCCTCCAAGCCACCACATCACAGCTGTAAGCCTGAACCTGCTTCATCATCTCCATCAAAGCCATCTGTAATCAATTGGTTCAGAAGACAGCACTCAGCTGAGGGTCAAGACACAATTAGAATATGCTCACATCCTAGAAACAATAAGGTTGGTAAAGACCTCCAAGGTCATATGGTCCTACCATCACCCTGCCTCCAATGTCACCCGCTAAACCATGTCCCTAAGCACCACGTGCAACCTTTCCTTGAACGCCCCCAGGGACAGTGATGCCACCACCTCCCTGGGCAACCTGTTTCAATGCCTGACTACTCTTTCTGAGAAAAAATGTCTCCTAATTTGCAACCTAAGCCTTCCCTGGCACAACTTGAGGCTATTCCCTCTAGTCAGTCTCACTTCACTGCCAGGTAAAACTGTGGTGTTCTTTTATTTTTGTTTTTTATTTTATTCTGGGAGTTACTGAAAAACTCCTAGAATTGAGTTTGAGGCCCGCTGATCGGCTTCAGTGTTCCTGCCAAGGGCCAAGCTGGAGAATCTGCCTGTCCCAGCCATCCCCTGGGTGGCTGGTGCTTCAGGGCTGTGCACTTAGTACAACAAGGTGTTTTACAAAAGGGAATCCCCTGTTATGGACCAGAAGAATAAGGAACTTTTCAGAGACCCAAAACATGTGAGTGACAGATATGTTAAATAAGAACTTCCCATTACCATTTAACAAGGAGAGACAAAAGTCAATGTTTTTAATGCCTTACTTTAATTGTCTGCCAACAAAGTAAGGATTTGAGACCTGTCTAGTATTTCATCTATTGAAGCCACAGTGGATTTTTTTTTTCTTTCTATTGAGTAATACAAACTCCAAACTCATCATGCAAACTTTATTAATCTGGGTTGTTAACAGTTAATTCTCTTTGCATTTATCCTAGATTAATATATATATATATATATATATATATATATATATTTAGTTTATTGTAGACTTAGGTATCGAAACAAAGCATCAATAGCTTACTTTTGTAAAACAACGAAGTAGTCCCCCCAGCCTCCTAACAAAGCATCAACAGAACCACCACCATCCTCAACCTCTAGATTTTACCTCTTCCTTATCGTTCACAGTTCCATTATTTCAATGATCAAAATCTCGGTCATCTGCAACACCTCCCTTAACCTTTTGTCCCTTTAAATCACAAGCATTCTTTCCTTCCTTTTTTAATTTGTTCTCTTTCAAATTTAGACCATGCTTGACTGATTTTTCATAAAACATAACCTTTTTCTGCTCTTTCGAAATCTCAGTATTTGCCTTACCAATATAGCAGAAATGCCTAACTTAAAAACAATCACATGCTTTCACCATTCTCTCTCCTTCAAATTTCTTTGAGCTTCTGCCTTGACACAGAAAGTTCAAGCTTATCTTTACGTTTAAAAAATGACAGACTTGCTAACATACCAGTTGCAATTTTATTCTGTTCTCTTTCTTCCTCTGAATATTTCTCTGAATCCTCTTCTGCATCTGTTCCCCTCTGTTACTTCTCATTCTTGGTTTTATATTGTTTAATACCACCCTCATGGCTGGAACAACTACATTTTCCTGTCAGGAGAACTATCTCTTCCTCAAGTCCTTCTCTAATCAGTTATTCTGCACTGGTTTCCATGGCAGCTGTATTCCCTTACCATCTATAAACTGTTTTCTACCAATATAAAGAAATATTTGTCTAATTTATGCTGACCAGAACAAGGACTATGGACCGTATTTAACCCTTGGAAAATTCAGCTAAGTTGGTGAAATTATAATAGGTATGAAGCTGGCCTCATATTTTCAGAGTCTGTAAATCTCCACATCCATCTGTGAGTCAAACCAATCCTTTAGCAACTTTCCATTATCTTGTTTCATTTGCTTGTCCTATAGGGACATGAAACACTCATTTTAATGATATGGAAGTTGTTATCTAGGGGTTTATTTTGATTCCCATGACTTATATTTGAAATATATTTTTGATAGGATTCCCACTGGGGTGTTAAAGGTGTTAATCAATACTGGCAGCAATTCAGACCCCAGTAGGCTTACGACATTTATCCTATCATCATATCAAATTTTAATCAGTCTTTAATGGCTTTGCTAAATAAGCCTTACTTATCAACTGAATGTAAATGCATTATCTGGGTAGTTGCCATTGAATTTATGTAGGCCCTCAAAAGCCCTGAAAATAGTTGTTTTCCATTCACAGAATTGTCTAGGTTGGAAGAGACCTCAAGATCATCGAGTCCAACCTCTAACCTAACACTAACAAGTCCTCCACTAAAACATATCGCTAAGTTCAACATCTAAACGTCTTTTAAAGACCTCCAGGGATGGTGACTCCACCAGCTCCCTGGGCAGCCTGTTCCAATGCCTCACAACCCTTTCGGTAAAGAAGTTCTTCCTAACATCCAACCTAAAACTCCCCCGGCACAACTTTAGCACATTCCCCCTGGTCCTGTCACCAGGCACATGGGAGAACAGGCCAACCCCCTCCTCACTACAGCCTCCTTTAAGGTATCTGTAGAGAGCAATAAGGTCGCCCCTGAGCTTCCTTTTCTCCAGGCTGAACAAGCCCAGCTCCCTCAGCCGCTCCTCGTAGGACTTGTTCTCCAGGCCCCTCACCAGCTTCGTCGCCCTTCTCTGGACTCGCTCAAGCACCTCGATGTCCTTCTTGTAGCGAGGGGCCCAAAACTGAACACAGTACTCGAGGTGCGGCCTCACCACAGCCGAGCACAGGGGGACGATCACCTCCCTAGCCCTGCTGGTCACACTGTTTCTTATACAAGCCAGGATGCTGTTGGCCTTCTTGGCCACCTGAGCACACTGCTGGCTCATATTCAGCTGACTGTCCACCATCACTCCCAGGTCCTTCTCTGCCTGGCAGCTCTCCAACCACTCATCTCCCAGCCTGTAGCTCGGATTGGGGTTATTGTGCCCCAGGTGCAGGACCCGGCACTTGGCCTTGTTGAACTTCATGCAGTTGACCTCAGCCCATCGGTGCAGCCTATCCAGAT